GGGGGAGAGAGGAGAATCACTGTGTGGAGGAAATCACTGTGTGGGGGAAATCACTGTGTGGGAGAAATCACTTGTGTCATTGGAAGTTATTTGCGTGGTCACTTGGGGGTCAAGAGAGTCCATGGTGCGGGGTGAGATAAGGCAGAGGGTGAGAGTCCCTGTACAATGAAGTGTCCAGCCAGCTATGTACGGAGGGAGCTTTCCCCCACCTCCCCGTTCTAGCCGTGGTCCAAGTCTTTGGTTCTGTGATCCAGGATGGCTCGCCACAAGCGACAGCGAAGGCCGCCTCTGAAATGAGGAGGAAAAAAAACAGAGACAGTTGAGATGGTTTTGTTTTTAGTAAGAGTTTTACGCAACACAATAAGGCCATATAAGTGCTGAAGATTAGAGGTGTTACAAGAGAGTAACAAACACAAAAAAGAACGAAGGGGAGATAAAGACAATAGATGTATGATAGGAAAGAAGGAGCAAACCACACCAGAGCACCCACCAACCACACCAGAGCACCCACCAACCACACCAGAGTTGAGACTGGCGGTTTCACGATTAAACCTCCAGGGACAACACAGCAGAGAAGGAAAATCTGCACATCACCAGCTGCTTTGTGCTGGCTTGCGCTAAATTCCAGTTTCTAACTTCTGGGGCATTCTGCCCTGTTTGTCACAGTTTCGATGAGCACCCTAGAAAAAATCAGGAGTGGGTGGCTCTACAGTGACTGGAGAGCTTCCATTGCAAATAGCCACCTCCTAAGAATTACATGGGTGTTCTGCCCTGGTCACGCCGGGGTGCATGGAAATGAGCGTGCTGATGAACTTGCTGGCAAAGCAACACCCACTGGCCGAATCATGCTCGACCCACCAATGGCGATCACCAGATGCAAGGAGAGCCTTCACAACCAAGAGGAGACAGACTCCCACACACTCAGCACGATAAAAGAAAAGTGTGTGCGGGGCACAGCGAAAAAAAGTTTGCTCCGAGGAGTGGTCAGGCGTGTCTCAAACCAGCTCCTCATGGAGACAATTAGCAGGAAGACCCTGAGGTGGACGCTGGAAAGGAGAGATGAGCAGCTATGGACATGTTCCGCCTGCTTTGATTCTAGCTCTGGATCCAAGTACTTCTGGGGGTTTTGGTCACAGCTGTCAGGCTGTTGAAAACCTTCCCTTTGGGCCCAAAACCACTACAATTAAAAGAATTTTGAAAAAGTAAGAACTTTCCGTGTGATCGCCATTTTCGAAAGACACCCATTATTATGATACTGTTTAACCCTTGAAGGCTGAAATAAAAACCACCAATTTATCAAAGCAAGGTTATTTCATACCAGTTTGAGAGTTTGGAAGATAATTTCAAAGTAAACGAGTCACTTATCAAATATCTACAATCTTGATTATGTACAGAAAGTGGCGGTTTAGCGGAGGAAATGGCAGTAGCGGAAAACTGAGGGGAAAAAAAGAATCAAAGAAAAACCATCCACTTTATTTTTCATTCACTTATGCTGGGCAATTCTATTTCATATTGTCATCTATGTCCTTCACCACACCGGCACATAGCAAAACACCAGTGCTCAGCATGTCTCCTCTCCCAGGGTATAAAATAGTGGCCACCCATCACTAATCTAATCATTATCACGACCAACATGAACATTTGAATTAAATAGAAATAATGAGAAATAAACACCACACATACATCTGACCACCAGATACATAACTATCATCATTGACCGAGACAGGTATGGTACGGGTACAACACTACTTTGAAACTACTATGAACAAGCAAAGCTGATAGGGTGAGTGGAAGTGGAGACGCTACCACGGTTACCCTTCAACGATCCACGAGCTAAAACTGCCATGGACTTGTAATTTGTGTTGTAGAAGACAATATGTGAGGCAGCGTGGTGGAATCAGGCTCTTGTCAATTTCGGGGATGTAGAGTTATTGGTATCATCTTAAAGCTTGTTCACTTTATTTGGATGAAAAAAATATCCATTTATCTTGAATGCAAGTCGAGATATTTGCAAAAGAAGGAGGTGGGGGACACCTGTTTTCAGAGGTAAAATTAGTGAGAAAATGGCTGCCAAAGATTAGTTATTTCCTTAGCTTAAGAGTCCGTGGTAACTGAAAATTTACATGTTTTGTGCCTTTAATCAACGTTCTTCAGAAACATCTACACAGCCAAAAAAACAAAATTTGATAAAAATTCACAAACCTGCGGAAAAATGCAAGTTTCTTCACTTTGATTATTTTGACGAGAGCCTGATTCCACCACGCTGCCTCACATATATGCTACAAAAAAGCCAATGACGAATACATATAACAAGCAGCCACAGGTGATATATATACATATATATATATAGCATGGGTAGCAAGGAGAGGTTTGAACATATATCTCACCGTATGTGAAGTTGTCGTATGTCTTCCCAGGTGACCAGTTCCAGAAGGTCGTTCAGAGTGTACTCTTCCTCACACACCTGTCATTGTACAAACAGACAGTTTCACTATGTGTCAAGGTGAACAAACAGACAGTTTCACTGTGTTTGAAGGTGAACATACAGAGTTTTATTATATTTACAGGTAAACAAAGGTTCATATATTTACAGGTAAACTAAGGTTCATATATTTACAGGTAAACTAAGGTTCATATATTCACAGGTAAACAAAAGGTTCATATATTCACAGGTAAATAAAGGTTCATATATTTACAGGTAAACTAAGGTTCATATATTTACAGATAAACCTAAGGTTCATATATTTTCAGGGAAACTAAGGTTCATATATTTACAGGTAAACTAAGGTTCCTATATTTACAGGTAAACTAAGGTTCATATATTTACAGGAAAACTAAGGTTCATATATTTACAGGTAAACAAACAGGAAATGTCAATATGTCTAAAGGTACAGGTATTTTTGTACAGCCAAGAAAGTTTCCCACTTAGACAATAAAGTACCACCTTATCGTAACTTATCTTAAACAAACAGTAAGTTAAACTATGTTTAAAGGTACTGGGAAACAAATTAAACATAGTTCGCTTTCTCTACAATAGAAATGTACCATAACTAAAATACACTGCAGCTCCAAAAAAAAGATATTTCTGAACAAGATATGTTGGGTCTTATTGTCTCCCTGCCATCAACCTATCTAAAAAAAATATAAAATTTTCATTTTCTTCAAGATTTCCAGGACCTTGACTTGCAATCCAAATCCCTTGAAAGTTGATCAAATCAGTTAGAGATCTAACTCACTGTTGCACAACAGTAACATAAAAATACAATTGGCGTGTTCGCTCCATCGCGACCTCAGTGCTTTCTTGTCCTATCTCAATTTTTTTTAACATTGAAAATGTGACTTCTTCGTAAGCTCACTCTTTGTTATGAACTGTTTTCACTGTTACTGAAATTGGAGATAGGACAAGGAAGCACCCAGGTCGTGTCATGGGTAGGAAGGGACACACAAGTCGACCTCAGAGACGAACAGTTTTGCTTTTGTACAGATCCCGCCTACCTTCTGGATGGATTCCTCGTCAAAGTTGAGCGATTTCATCCAGTCTATCAAGGCCTGGTCTCTCACCGCCTTCCCTGGGACTTCAATACTGCTGCTGCTTTGGTCTGAAACAGGGAACAACCGTACAGAGAAAGCTGTAAAATCTACTATAGTGGGAAAAAGTAAAATTTTATTCTGGTTTTAGTAAAGGTTTTGGGGCCAGCACAAGTCCAATTTGAACAGTACATAGGACACACAACAACATGAGACGTAATTTACTTTTTTGAAATCCATGACAGAGAGTTGTGCTCAAAGCAAGGCTACAAGATACATTTCACTAATCATATTCTAGATGGAGCAGCAGCCCCCAGATTCCCCCCCCCCCCAACCCCCGAAAAACGAAACCACACACATAAATTATTATTCTCATCCGTTTAGTTACCTAATGCGGGTGAGGTCTCTCGTGAAGTTCCAGCGCTTCCCTCACCAGTGAGAATTACTCTGAAAATAACAAACAAAACAAAACAAGTTCAAGAGTTTTAGTTTTAGTAAGCGTTTTACGGCACTTGCAACACAATAAGGTCATATAAGTGCTGAAGATTAGAAGTGCTACCAGAGAGTAACAAACACAAAAAAGGAGGGGAGATAAAGACGATAGATGTTTGATAGGAAAGAAGGAGCAAACCACACCAGAGTATCAGCCAACTGCCCATAAGTTCAAGAGAATATTTTGACAGGTTGACGAATGAGAAGAAGAAGAAGAAGACATGCTGACAACCCCCACCCCCTCAAATCTACGTTGCTCATTCTTCCATGGAGCCCTATTTTGTGCTTGCATTTAACCCTATCTGTACGCCCTGGGGTCAATTTGTACCCCCGGTGTTGTATTCTTCACATTTTAGAATACTTCTAGTGCGAAGATCTCTCTGAAACTTTCATTATTTTTCAAAAAATCACTTTGACAGACTGCTATACAAAGCGTACGGACCGGATTAACGAGTAAATTTCCTCTTTGGAAAGTGATGGCACAGAGTTCCCCACGTCGTATGAATACAATAATAAAACACACGTACGGATAGGGTTAAGATCCATCCCCCTCGAAAAGAACGAGCCACAATCTTTCAAAAATAGACACAGCATGCCCAGATAAACTTTCTCTTATACAGAATCCAGCCTGTTTTCAAGTGCATGTTTATTGAGCCCAAGACTCAAAGACTGTGTGACTACCATGACTGGAAAGGACTTTCTCTAATTTTTCACGACTCTGTACGAAGGAGAAAGGGAGAAGGAAACAGCTCTGAAGCAACACAGACGAACACAGTACCTGAGCTGTAACAAACAACACAGTACCTGAGCTGTAACAAACAACACAACATAGAGGACACAGTACCTGAGCTGTAACAAACAACACAACATAGAGGACACAGTACCTGAGCTGTAACAAACAACACAGTACCTGAGCTGTAACAAACAACACAACATAGAGGACACAGTACCTGAGCTGTAACAAACAACACAGTACCTGAGCTGTAACAAAAAACACAGTACCTGAGCTGTAACAAACAACACAATACAGAGGACACAGTACCTGAGCTGTAACAAGGACATCTTCTTCTCCTGTAGAGTTTGCTGGAGCAATAACTGGTATTGACGCTGTGCCTCCACCAATTCCTGCAAGACTCTGAGGGGGAGAGAGAAAGAATATGTTAATTATGAATGGCGTTCATATACTCTAAAGTATCAAATAAACCTTAAACCACGAGGAGATTGTCTTATAGATGTAACTCAATAGAATGACCAAACACAAAATGAGAATAGACATCTGCTTTCCTCTTGAAAAAAAAGAATGGTGATCTGAACATATAACCTCAAATTGTATGGATTGAATTATCTAATTTAACGTATTCATACAAGGTATCTGATCCCATACAATCGGCGGATTCCAAGTAGTGTCCTTTTAGAAATTTTGATTTATAATAATAATATTGCTCCATTTATTATTTTAATATTATTTCATTATTTTACTCAAATCAATTCTATTGTTAGTATTATTGTTTTTTATATTGATGTTATGACCGTGTTTCTTCTTCTTCTTCTTTTCATTATCAATATTTGTATTATGATAATCATTAGTATTATTTATTTATTTATTTATTCATTATTTATGTATTTATTTATTTATGTATTTATTTATTTATTATTTAATTGGTGTTTTTTTTCTTAATTATCATTAATACTGCCCTTAATCCATAAACGTGTTATCCATAAAAATAGACGGTAACATAAATGATGACACTATGGGGGGGGGGGGGTGATGAGAAGGGGTGGGGGGAGGGGGGGAGGCAATTACAGCGAATTATAGGCGATTTCTAGGTTGAGAACCATAGATATGGGGTACATAGAAGCGGAAGCAATAAATTGGCTAAAACAGCACCTGGACATGGATGGCTGGTGCCTCTATAAATAAATCATTGATGGTCAGGTCAGGTATCAAATAAGCGTGTGTCAATGGCTTAGAATACTGAATAAACTTACTGTACTTTACTTTGTACTTTGTTAACCCTATCCGTACGTCTGGGGTCATTTTGTGCCCCAGGGGTCGTATTCTTCAAATTTTAGAATACTTCTAGTGCAAAGATCTCTTTGAAACTTTCAGCATTTCTCAAAAAATCATTTTGATAGACTGCTATGCAAAGCGTACGGGTGGATTAATGAGTAGATTTCCTCTTTGGAAAGTGGTGGCACAGAGTTCCTCACGTCGTATGGATACGATAGTAAAACACGATGTACGGTTAGGGTTAAACATTTTCAGTTGGTAGGAAATTTTGAAAGTGGTAACAAAAGCAGAAGACAGAACATAGCTAGAGAGCGGGAAAGGAGACAATTTTAGAGAAGAAAATTTTTCGGTCGCTACCCGGATTCGAACCTGGGACCTTTGAATGAGAGGCGAACTCCTTAACCTCTAGGCCAAGAGAGCCCCCTTACTTTACTTTACTTTGTACATTTGTTACAAAAAGATACGCCTGTAGCTTACTTCACTTTACTTTGTACTTTGTTACAAAAAGATATGTGAGACGTGCTGACAAAATGAGTTACTTCTCGCAATCCGCAAATTGTAATGGAGATATTGGTCAAAAATCGACATTAGGGTCAAGTTGATATAATATTTTCTATTGATGCCATATTCTTTGTATACCCTGTCTTTTATTATTTCATACTTATAAATAGCAAAAACTTCACCTACAAGAGTGATGTATCTATTTCCATCTGGCTCGATGAATCCGAGAAGTAACTCATTTTGTCAGCACTCTTCACATATGCCTGTAGCTTACTTTACTTTACTTTGTTCCAAAAAGATACGCCTGTAGCTTACTTCACTTTACTTTGTACTTTGTTACAAAAAGATACACCTGTAGCTTACTTTATTTTACTTAATGTTACAAACAGACACGACAGTGACTTACTTGAGGTTTTCGTCCTGCAGCTGCGAGACCTGTGCCACCATGTCGGCGCTGGCCTGCTTGTAGTAGCTGTGAGCCTTGCCCGAGTTGGCCGAGGACACGCCCGACGTGGCCACTTCCTCTTCCCCTCGAGTGTCCTCCCCGCGGAGGTTCGCACCCAGCTCTGTGCACAGACACAAGGGGGTCAGACGGTTTAGTTTGAGTAAGAATTTTACGACACTGGCAACACAATAAGGTCATATAAGTGCCGAAGATTAGAGGTGTCACAAGAGAGTAACAAACACAAAATAGAAGGAGGAGAGATAAGGACGACGGATGTTTGAAAGGAAAGAAGGAGCAAATCGCACCAGAGCACCCGCCAACCACTCACGTAAGAATTTTAACACTGGCAACACAATTAGGTCATAAAAGTGGAGAAGATTAGAGACGTAACTACACAGTAATATACAAATAAAAGAAGGAGAAGAGATAAGGGTGGTAGATGTTTGATAGGAAAGAAGAGCAAACCACACCCAAGCAACCTGACTGCTGTAAGGCAGACAAGAGGATCGCTCATTTGTTTAAAAAGCAGAGTTTTAAAAGTTTTAGTAGAAGTTTTACGGCGCTCGCAACTGCATAAGGTCAAATGAGCACCAGAAGATTAGAGGTGTTACAAGAGAGTAACAAACATAAAAAAGGAGGGGAGATAAGGACGATAGATGTTTGATAGGAAAGAAGAAGCAAACCACACCAGAGCACCCGCCAACCACCCACAAAAGCAGAGTAGGTAGGGAGAGTCTTGATTGATTTGCAGACAAAAAAAGTTTCATTTAAAATGTTTAAAATTTGGTTTCTTGAATCGACTCGTCGTTTTGCCACGTAGGCTTCCTCAGGAGCAACTGAGATTGTTCATTTGTCTGTCTATGTCAAAGAAAAGCCTATTGACGGTATCGGACATAACTTTTAAAAAAAAGTTATGCATCAATACTTGAAGAATTTTTAGAGCACAGCGACACAATAATATCCACTGAAGGCTTGGCAAAAGCAAAGTAAAAGAAAAAAATAAATATATGGACAGTAAAGATATAGGATCTTATTCTGCTGGGGACATCCTTCAACGACACACAAAATGGGAAAACTATTGGGAAATTGAGAGGACCCTCCAAGGATAAGGCATAACGCTTTGAAAACAAGACAGAAGCCCATGATCTGCGCACATCCACAAGTGGATATACAGTTTTTATAGGCTCAAAATGTGTCAAACTCCTGTCTGCCAGAATTGGTCACACTGCCTTCGTACACAGACGTGGCAGAATGTGGCTCCCCTTGAGAGAAAGCTCTATGGCAGTCTCTCAGAGTATAAGCGAACTGCACAGTTTGTACGCAACATGGGACTGACTGTCTCGCTGCTGTCATCGAGAATGAGGAAGAAGAAGAAGCAGGTCACACTAGTTATGGCAAAAGCCACAAGTCCTCTTAACCCTTTTGTCTTCTATTTTGCTTACAAAATATTCTCCAGTGCAGATACACTGGTCGTCGTCAAACATTGACTGACAACCTATTATTATCAACATTATCATTATGATTATTATAAAGATTACCTGGAGAGAGTATGGTGATGGCCACTTGCACGGCTCCCCTCAGTAAGTTGTCCAGGGCAAACATCCAGTGTGGTTTGATGCTGTGGGCCCGTAGGTTCATGCTTACCTGGTAGAGAGACACACACAGGGGGGTATAATATTGTGGTCAAACGTAGGGATAAGGGGGACATAGACACACACAGGGGGGTATAATATTGTGGTCAAACGTAGGGACAAGGGGACATAGACACACACAGGGGGGTATAATATTGTGGTCAAATGATACGTCCTAGACACACACAAGGAAGTATACAGTCAAACGTAGTGGTAAGCGAAGGAGACGGAGATGGAAAGGAAGGGAGAGGGTTTGGATGGGAGGAAGGGAGAGGGCTAAGATAAGAGGGGAAGGCTTTGGACGGAAGGAAGGGGAGGGTTCAGACCAGCCTTCAGTTTTGAGGATCACAAAATAATGTAAAATCTTGAATACTATACACTTCAAAAGAAACAATTTAGATTTCGAAGGAGGCGGGTTATTAAAAAAAACAAACCCACAGCACATGCTATTCAAATAGCATAAATTTTGTCACATCAGAATTTGAAAGTCAATGAAGTTTTGTTTCCCCCCCCAAAAGACACAGCACAAGGTAAAGATTACACGGGTCGGCCGTGAACAACACAACAAACAACACAACATGCAGCACGACACGCAACACAACACTCACCGCGTCCTGAAAGACGTAGAGGGCCAGCTGTATCTCCATCAGAGCAGACGCGTCAAACTGGACGTATTCCCGCAGGTTGTCTGCAACACCAGAGAGAGAGAGAGAGAAATAGAAAGAGAGCATAGAAACAACGGAATGCTTAAGGCTGTTTTAAAAAAAAAGTAATATCCCTAGAGCTGAGATGTTCCAACTCCTAGACTGGGGACCAAAGTTGTTCTATTTTTATCAACTGACTTCTAGAGGCCCTCATGAAAAGTTCTGAGACATATATAATATATAGAGAGAGGTTTATAAAAAAACAGGTGTTTTAGTTTTTTTAATGTTTAGTTTTAGTAGTTTCACTGCCCTGCAACACAATTAGGTCACACACGTGCCTTAGACAAGAGGCGTTAATAGAGAGAAACTTATTACAAAGAAAAGAAGCAGAGACAATGATGATAGATGTTTGACAGGAAAAAAGTGACAAATCATATCAGAGCACTCGCTGCAAATCACTTATAACCCCCCCCCCCCCTTTTTCCTCCAAAGTGTGGGGTAACCACAGTTTCTCCACTATGTGGGGTAACCATAGTTTCTCCATTACCTTTTACACAAAAGTATAGATTGTGAAGCGCATAGAGCTTGCTGTTGAGCGGGGATAGTTGCGCTATACAAATGCTGTCTATCATTATTATGCTGCCCTATCAGAGCTCTCTTTACACAATCATTTAGTGTGGACCTAAAGTCCTATATAGTGAAGGATGAAAAATGTAAAATTTTACAGTTCCATTGACCCAATTTAGATCATTTAGGAGGCAGGATGCTTAAACCCCACCAGTCAGGGTCAACCAGCAACAAGATCTCAGTGCTTTCTTGTCCTATCTCCATTTTTCTAAACCCTATCCGCACGTCGAGTTTTACTATCGTATCCATACGACGTAGGAAACTCTGTGCCACCACTTTCAAAGAGGAAATTTACTTGACAATCCGATCCGTACGCTTTGCATAGCAATCTGTCAAAATGATTTTTTGAGAAACACTGAAAGTTTCAAAGAGATCTTCGTACTAGAATTATTCTAAAATGTGAAGAATACAACCCCGGGGGTACAAAATGACCTCAGGGCGTATGGATAGGGTTAACATTGAGAATGTGACTTCTTCTTAAGCTCCCTCTTCGTTAAGAACTGTTTTCACAGTTATTAAAAATGGAGATAGGACATACAATGTCCTAGAAGAAACGTGGAAATGCTCCATAAGAATTCTCCCCACACAAGAATTGAACTCAGATCTGCATGCAACGGCAAAAAGCCTAACTGCTTCACCACAGGCAGGTTGGTTTCGAAAGTCCCACTTCCGAAAGGGAAATACTGGGAATTGTGTCAGTGAGGCAGAAAAACAATTAATAAAAAACGAACAAAGACTCCATTTTCTTTTTTAAAACAGTGAAAACAGTTCATTCCCCAAAATTTGGTTAACAGACTTCCGGGGTCCATTGAGTTTGAGCTCACTTTTTTATTTTTAAAAGATAGGTCGAAATCCTAACATAGATCTCCAGTTCATATAGGTTTGTACTTGTGCGCCAAATTTCAGGCTGTTGTTTCAATATTTACTATGAAATTTTTCTGCATTAAGAAACTGGTTTGAAAATCCAAGATGGCCGCCACAGAGACCCATATTTCAGAAAAAATCAACAAATTCACGCTTAGTACCTACTATTAACCTATGAACTTTGTGCACAATTACATGAAAGTGAAAAAAGTCATTCGTTTAGAAAAATTTTCCCGGAGTGTACGTCTTCCCTTAAAAGCCACCTTGATCAAAATCCAAGTATCTTTGTTATAGTAAGCATTTTACGGCACTTGCAACACAATTAGGTCATATAAGTGCCGAAGATTAGAGGAGTCACAAGAGAGTAACAAACACAAAAAAGAAGGAGAAGAGGTAAGGATGATAGACGTTTGATAGGAAAGAAAGGAGCAAACCACACCAGAGCACCAGTCAACCACCCACTCCAAGTATCTACACGACGTCCACCTTCCACCCACCCACCATCAGGAAGGTTGGTGAAATACTGTTCAGTGTACGACAGTGTTAATGAAAGACATAACAGTTACAGGAGTGCAAAACTGAATGTTAAAAACAACAGCAGGGATCATGCAGCTTAGCATTTTGTTTTGGTTGCATTAACAGAAAAATAGGACTGGACAGAACAACGAACGTTATGGGACAGGAAAAGGGGTGGAGAGGGGGAGAGGGAAGAATTATTATGTTGAAATGAGTCAACTGCCCCTCTACTCAGTGATGGCTACATTTTCCCAGGAATTGAGTAGGACAATACAGACAGAGAAAAGAAGTAGAAGGAGCAGATCACACTACAGACCGCGCACCAACTACTGCTACTGTTTTCCACACTACGTCCACCTGCAAGTGCTGCGGAGCGAAAAAGCTAAATAGTCGGTGAAAGAGAAGCCTGTCGAGACAGACGAGAACAAACACATACAGGTGACGACTTGCATAGCTATGACATGATAATGCAACCAATAGCAGAGTACGAAGCATCCGGGTAGCAGTAGTGACAAATAGACGGTGACACGCAACTAAATACTTTTTACTTTTGCTATGACAGTCTAAATTGTCCAAGACGGCCTACCATTGTTGAGGAAAAAAGTTGTTGTCTTAGACAAGTAGGTGTCTTGGACAGTGTCGTTCGAATATGTGAGGCAGAGTGGTGAAACCACGCACTTGTCAAAATTATGAAATTGAAGAAACTGGAATTTTTTCCGCAGGTTTGTGGATTTTTATTTAATTTTCATTTTTTGGCTCAACACCTTTCATGCCCACTAAAGAATATATTTCTGTGTGTTTTTTTCTGAAAAATGTTGATTAAAGGCACAAAAAAAGTAAATTTTCAGTTTCCACCGACTCTCAAGCTAAGGAAATAACTAATCTTTGGCAGCCATTTTCTCACTAATTTTAGCTTTGAAACCAGGTGACCCCCACCTACTTCTCTCACAAACATCTCGACTTGTATTCAAGATAAATCGAATTTTTTTTCATAAAAAGCAAGACAAATGAACAAACTTTAGGATGATACCAATAACTCCACATGCCCAAAAATTGATGAGAGCCTGATTCCACTGGGTTGTGACATTTATTGAAAAAAAAAAATGCAAGGGGGAAAAGTGGGAAGCTGTCATTTGTACAGGTGACTGTCTTGGACAGGTGGCTGATAGACAGGTTAACTGAAGTTTCCCATGAGCCCCGTCACATATTTTAAAGTCTACCGAATCATTTTACTTGACCGTCGAGACAAAAATGCTGGATAGAGCTGTGAAGGGAGTTTATGTGTTTGTCTGTCATGCATGTCATAATTTTCACCTCGCAAAACCCTACTCTAAGACCCATCTACAACTCAAGACTCTCTCACTGAAAGTGTTTTACAAATGAAACATAGGGAATGGCTACTGAAATTTGGAGGTAGGGATACCTCAAAGGGGCAGGTTATAAAATCAAAACAAAATTTCAGTGTAAAAAAAATCAGTCCGTGAAAATACCCCAGGCAAATCACGCCTAGCATATTCTTATATTCTTATACATCATAAAAAAAACAACCAATATCTATCGCAAAAAAGATTCTAAGCAGCACTTTCCAGATAGAAGTCCAGCAATTTTGAACCTTGAGAAGCAGTCCTAAAAAAGACGAAGCATATAAATATATACATCACTCTCCTTAATCTTCTGCCTACATTTTTTTTAGTTGCGTGTTCCGAATAAAGAAGATAAACAAACCATGATTTCCGATATCTGCTCCACACCTCCCACCTAGACAGAGAGAGAGAAAGAGAGAGAGAAAGATCGGTGTTTACTTGTGACAGTCCAGACAGGACCGCTGTGTCTGGGCACATGGCCCGGACGTTCAGGGGGTCAGATAGTGCATCATGAACTTGAACACATAAAAAAACAACCTTTCCTGCTACCTGCAGGTGAAACAAAACTAAACGCCTTCAATCTCCTTTAGATGATTTGGCCTTCAGTGAAGTAAAGTTGTTCCCGCATTCGATCCGGACATTGGAGATTGCCCTGTTAATGTTAGTGAGACAACTTCCTGGGCCTTTGGCATATTGCGGTAGGGAGGCCAGTTCCTTTCCACGCCGCCTTTACTTCTCTAACTCAAAGTCAGGTACCCACTACTGCTGGGTGGGCAAGAAGGGGCGAAAAAATCTGTGTACGAACCGAGGCTCGAACATGGACTTTCCACTTGGCCTTCAGTGCACATCATAATTTTTCCACAGCAAAAACAGGTAGTTAAGTATAGCTCAGACCCACACGCTGAACATATTTTAATAGTGCATGACTAAAGAGAATAAAATGAATTAGTGGAGAGGGTTAATTGTCATGAAAAGTCAACATATCAATTCACACATCAGCTGAAACTAGGAAGATTAAACTACTCAAAATCAAGCAAATTCTTAGAGCACACAGCAGACACACAAATAAAAAAATAAAAAAACTTGTCTAAGACAGACAACCGCCCATTATAGAGGAGAGAAGCGGTCATCGTAGACAGGTGGTCACCTTAGACATGTGGTCACCTTAGACAGTGTCATTATAATATTGAGGAAAAATCCCCAGAAGGCTATGGGAAGTTTTTTAAATAATTTTTTTTATAGTAGAGGGTTATACGGCGCTCGCACCTGCATAAGGTCATATGAGTGCCAAGGGGTGGGTGTCAACAGAGAAGTCTTTAAAGGGAATCAGACTTAAGACTGCTCACCTCTCTAGCTTCAACAGCACGAGGTCTGCTTCGACTATCAAGGCACCCCAAAATAGCAGGTCACAAGGGAGTGACAAACATACAAAGAAGTAGAGGAAAATGACAAAAGTAAGGATCAGGAAAGAAAAAGCAGCAGTTCCCTGTTGTAGATCAGGCACAGTTATGAGCGTGACATGAATCAGCCCATTTACAATTCTACTGTGCTTGAACGAGAAATGTCCCCCCTTTGGGAATGGCCTAAAGACACTTCAGTCAGTGGCACTGCCCCGCGGGGTAATGGGAGAAGTGAAAAGTGGTCATTTGTACAGATGAAGAGTAGGAAGGCCATAAGCCATAGATAAAACTAGCTGGGCCCCCTTTCAATGAAAGGAATGATCGGTGCTTTTATACATGTATCAACTAAAAGTCATTGGCCTACTATATTTATACTCTACTGGAATGGGGCAATAAATCTTGAGAGATGCAAAAATTTCCAAGGTCTAGATCTATACTCTAAAAAACAAAATGCGCCTCGCGAAATATCACTTCCGGATTTTCTAAAATTAGAGAGACAGAAGCGTCGGCCTACAAAAGCGATCGGCGAAATAAAGAAAATTAGCTTTTTGCAGCAAAACTGTCTCAAAACTGAACAAACCAAGGGCGTCATGATCTGGAGAATATTTTTAAGAATCTTTTGTCGAAAACCGCATGTCGATCGATGCAGCCAATAAAAAGCCTTTTGAATAGCAAAATTCGGCCACCACAAATAGATAATAGAAGACAAAAAGACAGCCGCTTCTTATGTGTTTCATCCAAGCTATGTAATAAAACAGTTCAAAACACATTCGAACCTTTTCTTAAATCTTGGGAAAGTGTTTGAGTTGGAGTAAACAGAAGCCCATCAATAGCAAAATAATGGTCGTATATAGTTCAGAGAAGCAAGACAGATAGACAGAAGCAACAGAAAGGACCTCAGAGTAGCACCCTCTAATCACCCGCTGGAAAACTGTTGACTTGGCCCCCGCGGATAAATCTAACCCCGGAGGGAGAGAAGAGGCAATAAAGTTATACCCCCCCCCCCCCCCCCCGGAGAGAGGAGGTGATAGTATCATATCCCCAGAGAGTTTTAGTTTCAGTAAAAGTTTTACAGCCCTTGCAGCACAATAAGGTCATACAAGTGCCGAAGAATAGATGAGTTACAAGAGAGTAACATACACAAAAAAGAAGGAGGAGAGATAAGGACGATAGAAGTTTGATAGGAAATAAGGAGCAGACCACACCAGAGCACCCGCCAACTGCCCACTATCCCTGGAGAAAGGAGGCGATAATATGATACCCCAAAAGCGGAGGCAGTTTTGGTTTACCTATTGCTTCTTTGATGGACATGGTGGACTGGTCCAGGATGTAAGACTTGATCCCCACCAGCAGACACATCAGGTGTTCCTGGCAGGGGAAACGCACGACATGCTTTTATATATATGTAAATACTTCATTTTGAGTCAAGTGAGAGTACAGAAAAAACACGACACTCTCTTATACATATGTAAATACTTCATTTGAGTCAAGTGAGAGTACAGAAAAAACACGACACTCTCTTATACATATGTAAATACTTCATTTGAGTCAAGTGAGAGTACAGAAAAAACACGACACTCTCTTATACATATGTAAATACTTCATTTGAGTCAAGTGAGAGTACAGAAAAAACACGACACTCTCTTATACATATGTAAATACTTCATTTGAGTCAAGTGAGAGTTAAAAAAAAAGCATATTGTTTCAGTTTTAGTAAGAGTTTTAAGGCACTTGCAACACAATAAGGTCATATAAGTGCTGAAGATTAGAGGCGTTACAATACAGTAACAAACAAAAAACAAAAAGGAGGAGAAATATGGACGATAGATATTTGATGGGAAAGAAAAAGCAAACCACACTATAGCATTCCTAAACCATTCACTATTGTCTGTTTGGGGTGGTATCAAAGAATGAGTGCAGGCAAGCATAAGCAACCGTGCTTATGTGCACATATGTGAGCGTCTCTCTCTCTCTGTGTTCTCTCTGTGTGTGTGTGTGTGTGTGTGTGTGTTTACATGCGCGAGTGGTGGGTATGTCGGTATGGGATAGAAAAAGAGGGATACAGCTGATAGAGTAACCCTCTTCCACAAGCAGAGAGAGAGAGAGAGAGAGAGAGACTGAGAGAAAGACAGAGAGAGACAGCGAGAGACAGACAGACACACAGAGACACAGATACAAGAGAGAAAAAGATAGAGAGAGAGAGAGAGAGACAGACAGAGAAAGAGAGACAGAGACAGAAACAGAGACTGACAGACAGACAGAGACAGATACACACAGACAACGACATACCGCTGTGAGCTTTGGGCTGGAGATGGTGGCGTCTCGGTGCAGCATGTCCAGCCAGTTGGCGCAGATCTGAGGACATACATTGTAGTTGTCTTTTCAGTAAATGTTTTACAGCACTCGCAACACAATAAGGTCATATTAGTGCCAAAGACGAGGAGAGTTACAAGAGAGTTTTTAAAATTTATTTTTTAAAAATTTAGTAATAGTGTTACGGCACTTCCAACACAATAAGGTCATATTAGTGCAGAAGATTAGAGGTGTTACAAGAGAGTAACAAACACGAAAAAGAAGGAGGGGAGTTAAGGACGATAGATGTTTTTAGTTTCGTAAGTGTTTTACGGCATTTGCAACACAATAAGGTCATATAAATCAGTGCCAAAGACAAGAAGAGTTACAAGAGTTTTTTGTTTAAAAAAAAATATTTTAGCAAGTCTTTCGGAACTTGCAACACAGTAAGGTCATATAAGTGCCGAAGATTAGAGGTGTTACAAGAGAGTAACAAACATAAAAAAGAAGGAGGAGAGATAAAGACGATAGTAGTTTGATAAGAAAGAAAGAGCAGATGACACCAAAGCACCCACTAACCACCCACAACAAATATTGTAACTGCCATGTAATTATAGTACCACAAAAAAAGAGAGTAGAAGAGGGCAGACGAAACAAGGTCACCCACCAACCACCCTCAAAAGAACAACAAAATGGCCAAATGTCACTCACAATGGCATGCTGACAACTGTAATGTTAAAATGTCTCACATTATCTAGTACCTTTCTTCAAACACAAATTAAAGTAAAAAAACCTGGAATATTACTCCACTTGTTTTAGTTTAGTTTTAGTAGAGGTTTTACTGCACTCTCAACTGCATAAGGTCATATGAGCGCCAAGGGGTGGGTGTCAACAGAGAAGTCCTTACAGGGAATCAGGCTTACGCTGCTCACCTCTCTAGCTTCAACAGCACAAAGTCTGCTTCAACTATCAAGGCACCCTGGAAATAGCGGGTCACAAGAGAGTGACAAACATACAAAAGAAATAGAGGAAAAATTACAATAGAAAGGATGAGGAAAGAAAAAGCAGCAGTTCCCTGTTGCAATTCAGGCACAGTTAAGAGCTTGACATTGATGAATCAGCCCATTTACAATTACAATTCTACTGTGCATAAGAACTCAAAATGTTAATATCCCCCCTTTGGGAATGGCCTAAAGACACTTCGGTCATTAGCACTGCCTGCCGCAGGGGGTATTACTCCACTTGATAAGACAAATAAGATAAGAAACTTAGAACTATTTTTAGTAACACCCCAACGCACCTTGTCGGAGTCCTGGTCCAGAATGTGCACAAGCGTCTGCCGTCGCTCCGAGTCCTTGCGGAGCATGTAGAAGCCGCCCTCCTTGGAGAAAGAGCTCTCGTGGGACTCGATGTCTGGAGACAGGAGGTAGGTCTGTACAGGGCTGGTGTCTGTGGACATGTTAGACTCCGAGCTGCAACACAAAGAGAGAGAGGCAGCTTTTAGTTTTGGTAAGTTAAGTGTTTTGCAGCACTTGCAACACAATAAGATCATATAAGTGCCGAAGATTAGAGGTGTTACAAGAGAGTTTTTGTTTAGTTTTAGTAGAGGTTTTACGGCACTTGCAACACAATACGGTCATATAAGTGCCGAAGAATAGATGTGCTACCAGAGAGTAACAAACACAAAAAAGGAGGGGAGATAAAGACGACAGATGTTTGATAGGAAAGAAGGAGCAAACCACACCAGAGCATCCATCAACCGCCTACAAACACAGAGGGAGAGAGAACACATCACACAACACTTAGATCTAGAGATGGTCGTGGCCTGGGGGGGGGGGGCTGCTCAGACAGCAACATGTGTAAGCATCCCCACAGATATGCTAGACACATGCACGAACACAGATGTGAGCACATGGACCACATACACATGAATCACACACTCAAACACACACAGACTCACACACACACACACACACACATGCACGCAAACACACACATGGAAGTAGGTATACAGTCTACACACACACACACATGCACACACACACACATAAATATACTTTTTTTTATACCTTTATCAGAACTAAATGCCTCAAATAAAGCAACTCTAGCTGGCGCAATAATTACGTAAACGCGCACACCTACACAAAAAAACCACACACACATACACATGTACATGGATTTGCACTTTAGAATAAATAAATGATAAGAACAATACTGACTTAACACACACAAACTCTCTCTTTCTCTCTCTCTCTCTCTCTCTCTCTCTCTCTCTCTCTCTCTCTCTCTCTCTTTCATACTTTAAACAAGCACACACTCACACATGCAAATAAAGACACACAAGAGGATTTATTCAACGACTCACGCCAGAATTCTGAAGAAATAATATAAAAATAAGACACTCATTTACTAAACTAGTGAAGAGGTGGCCTAGTTTCAATAATTGGTAAAATAACTTAATCAATGACCTTTAACAATGAGTTACTTTAACAATGAGTTACTTTATAACTGAGTTACATGAGAGTAAAAACAAATCATGGAAAAGATAGAGGCCCAAAAACAAACAGAAAAGAAAAGTAATGTGAAACTATACCTGGGCCAGGAAATATTGGCTTATAGAAAGAAACAGTAACATGGCATTAAATCAGGGTCGAGACAAACAAAACAACAAACAAAACAACAAACAAGTTTGCAGGAAGGCATAATAAAATGAGCCAAAAATAATCTGAGTGACGAGTCAGGAAATATTCGAAGGTGGAAAAGAACAGCAATAATGATATTGAATCTGAGTCAAGAAATATTCAAAGACGGAAAAGAAACAGAAATAAAGACACTAAATGTGGGTCAAGAAATATAATAAGATGGAAAGGAACATGCATTTCTTTCACTGGAGATCAGAATTATTATCTTATCTAAATATAATACAAATCTGGGTCAAGAAATACCAGAAGAACAATTATATACAAAATATGGATCAAGAAATAAGAGAGAACAGAAAGGAAGATTCACCTCATACAAATTACAGCATTATCATATAAATTATGCGCCAAGAAATATGAGAAAGCAGAAAGAAAGATTCACCTCAATCAAATTATAGTAGGCATCATACAAATCATGCGCCAAGAAATATAAGAGAGATATAAACAAAAGTAATATCTTTTTTTTTTAATGCGCAGAGAAATATATAATGGTAGAAAAGAACATAATATGAGAAGTTAGAAATGTAAATTCAAATTATTAATAAAATATGGACCGAGAAATATGAAAAGAACAGAAAAGAATAGTAATGTCATACAAGATATGCAGCTAGAACTTAGAAATATGAGACGTTTAATTCATAAGGAAGATATATTTCATAGATATTACGCTAAGAAAAATGAGAAGTTAAAAAGGAAGAGTGCTATATATATTACTGGAGTACATAGTTTTTCTATCGGAAAGAGAACATTTCTACCAAGAGTAGTGTTTCCGCCAAAGCACTCATCACTCACACAACAAATGCGAGCACACGAAGGATCGCACATCTACAAAAACACGCGTTGTAATATCACATATTATATTATGTGTACAATTCTTCATGGCTACAATCCTTCAGGTGTGTGAGCTGCATGTTGGAGAGAAACACTGAACAGCGGTGCATTCATCATTCAGATACAACAGAACACTATGCAGACAAAAACACAAAAGCTTAAGACAAAACAAAGTCCCAAAACAAAACAAAACAAACAACAACAAACAAAACAAAAGTGAGTACATAAAAAGGTGATATAATACAAACAAATCAAAGGTTGTGCGTGTGTGTGTGTGTGTGGGGGGGGTGAATATGTGTGTGTTTGTGTGTGCGTGTGTGAGTGAGTGTGTGTGCGAGTAAGTGAGTGTGTGCCCATGTGTGTGTTTATGTGGGTGTGACAGAGAGAGACCTAGGGAGGGAGGGAGGGAGGGAGGGA